GCAGGAATCGGGGATCCGGGGAGCTGCTGCTGGGAGCAAGAGGACAATAATAAATAAATAAATAAATAATATAAAAATTATAAAAACAATAAAATAATAAAATAAAATATATCAATATAATAAAAATAAATTAAATAAAAATATAATTATAATGATTATAATAATGACTTCTTCTTCTTCTTCTTCTTCTTCTTCTTCTTATTATTATTATTATTATTATTATTATTATTATTATTATTATCATTATTATTTCTTCCAAGAGGAGCCCTCTGTTCCATCCTCTCCCTCCCAGGATCCCTCCTCATTCCACGCCACAATTCCCCTCCTGTCCCCAGCCCTTCCCCATTCACTCCCTCAATTAACACAGCTCCTCCAGGGATTTGAATAATTCAGTGCCAGGGATGGAATCTGATGGAAGGAGCAGCAAAAATCCCAATTCCACTTGAACCAAACCCGGGCTGGATTTCCCTGCCCACGCTTTGCCCAGGAAACTTCAAAAAGCCAAATCCTGCCGAGCTGCTCCTGCTTTATTTATCCAGTTTATTTTCCAAAAGCCTCCCAGGCCATTTATTTCCCCAATTATTTTGTGCGCTGCTCTTTTATTTTTTCCCTGTTTTTTTCCCCAGTTTCTCTTTCCTGCCCCCACTCAGGAAGTCTCTCCCCCTTTTTGCGCATCCACAGCACCCCCAGCTTTAAATTAAATTAAAATTAAATTTCTATTTCAATTAAATTTAAATCAAACACACCCAAGAATCTGGGATTGCCAAATTTCCTGCAGCCTGAGCCTGGAACTGCAGCCAAGGAGCAAAGTGGGCAGCAGGTCAGGAAAGAACAAATAAACCCAACCAAACCCTCTCTAATTAAATGTCTTCATATTAAATTAATTCCAAAAAAACTCATTGGGAACAAGGGGGAGGATTTGGGACACCAGGATGGAGATGAAGGAAAATGGAGGGAGAACTTCAGAGAATAAACCCAGGAAGCGCAGAGAGCTTCAGAAATGGAGTCCAAAAAATGAAATTAAATAAAAAATTGCTTCATTCCCTTTTCTGGGAGAGCTCCCACAGCCAGGAAAATCCTGCAGAAAACACCTGGGACAAACGGGGACAAACGGGGACAAATGGGGACAAACGGGGACAAACGGGGACAAATCCAGGGACAGGGAAAAGGGTCTGGGTCTGGATGCTGAGGGTCTGGAGCTGGGAGCAGGGACAGGGATCTATTCCAGGGTTCAGGGATTAAGGGATGCGTTCCTGGGGGATTCAGGGATTCAGGGATCCATTCCTGGGGAATTTGGGGATTAATTCCTGGGGGATTCGAGGATCCATTCCTGGGGATTCAGGGATCCATTCCAGGGATTCAGGGATCAATTCCTGGTGGATTCAGGGATTAATTCCTGGTGGATTCGGGGATCCATTCCTGGGGGGTTCAGGGATTAATTCCTGGTGGATTCGGGGATCCATCCCTGGGAGATTCAGGGATCCCTGGAGCTGTTCCTGGGCAATGCAGGGATCCAGGAATCCATTCCAGGGGTTCAGGGATCCATTCCTGAGAGATTCAGGGATCCATTCCAGATTAATTCAGGGATCCATTCCTGGGGGATTCAGGGATCCATTCCTGGGGGATTCAGGGATCAGTTCCTGGGGGGTTCAGGGATTAATTCCTGGTGGATTCGGGGATCCATCCCTGGGAGATTCAGGGATCCCTGGAGCCGTTCCTGGGCGATGCAGGGATCCAGGAATCCATTCCAGGGGTTCAGGGATCCATTCCTGAGAGATTCAGGGATTGATTCCTGGGGCATTGAGGAATTAATTCCTGGTGGATTCCGGGATCAGTTCCTGGGGGATTTGGGGATCAATTCCTGGGGGATTCAGGGATCTCTGGAGCCATTCCTGGGGGATTCAGGGATCCAGGGTTCCATTCCTGGGGCATTCGGGGATTCATTCCTGGGGCATTGAGGGATTAATTCCTGGTGGATTTGGGGATCAATTCCTGGGGGATTTGGGGATCAATTCCTGGGGGGATTCAGGGATCCAGGGATCCATTCCAGGTTGATTCAGGGATTAATTCCTGGGGCATTGAGGGATTAATTCCTGTGGATTCGGGGATCCATTCCTGGGGTATTCAGGGATCCCTGGAGCTGCTCCACGGGGAGAACGAGGAGGAGGAGGAACATCAAAGCTGGCCCAGGGGGATGAGAGGTCCCTGTCTGATCCCTGAGCAAAGGGAAGAGCAGGAATTCAAAGCCAGAATTCAAAGCAGCAGCACGAGGTCCAGGCTCAGCGTGGCTCCTCTGAAAAGCTGCTGGGTAAAAATTCCCTGGGCTCGAGGAATTCCCAACACTGGAATGCTGATTGTTAAATATTCCCTGTGGAATTCCCAACACTGGAATGCTGATTGTTAAATATTCCCTGTGGAATTCCCAGCTGTGGAATGCAGATTGTTAAATATTCCCTGTGCCTGTGGAATTCCCAGCTCTGGAATGCTGATCAGTAAATATTCCCTGTGCCATTCCCAGCTCTGGAAAGCTGATTGTTAAATATTCCCTGTGCTTGAGGAATTCCCAGCTCTGGGAAGCTGATTGTTAAATATTCCCTGAACCTGTGGAATTCCCAGCTCTGGAAAGCTGATTGTTAAATATTCCCTGAGCCTGTGGAATTCCCAGCTCTGGAAATCTGATTGTTAAATATTCCCTGAGGAATTCCCAGCTGTGGAAAGCTGATTGTTAAATATTCCCTGAGGAATTCCCAGCTGTGGAATGCTGATTGTTAAATATTCCCTGTGCCATTCCCAGCTCTGGAAAGCTGATTGTTAAATATTCCCTGTGCCATTCCCAGCTCTGGAAATCTGATTGTTAAATATTCCCTGAAGCCCCTGGAGGTGGAAAAGGGACGGAGAGGAGCTCTAATTCCTCCAGGGATGGAAAACCCAGGACAGGAGATCCCTGATCCATTCCCTGGGATCCATCCCCTGCTCCCAGGGGATTTGGGGCTCACCCCAACGTTCCCTGGTCCCAGCCATCCTGGATCCCATCAGGACTGTCCTGCTCTCCCTCCTCACCTCCCACCAGGTGCAGGCGAAGGGAAGGACCCAGGGCTGGAATCCTGCAGGAATCATTAAAAACTCTGGAATTTTGGCCTCACCTGCAAGGAGAAACAACAGGTTTGTATTGAAATTCCCTGTGCAACATTCCTAAAAACCTCCCCTGGCTTCCAGGAATCTCAGGGCACCAGCAGGACATAGAAGTGATGAGAACGTGAGGAGGCTTAAAACTGGAACAGAATTAAAAACTAACAACGGAAAGAAAAGGCCAGAGATACCACAGGGTACAAAATAGGAATTATTTATATTTTCCAAAAGAAAAACAAAAAGAGTTCCCAGCTATTGAAACATCTCTGCTGTAAGAAGTGACTAAATAGAAAGGGACAGGGCTGGCCCCAGACAGCCAGACCAGGTACAAACAGTGTAAGAATCACGGAGCAACTCAGGGACGTGGCACGCGGCCGTCAGCAAGAGTGAAATTCATCCTGGGGGGGTTTGGGGTTTTTCTTTCGTTAAAAAAAGAGGGAGGAAAGGGGAAATGGAGCAGGGGAAACGCCCAGAGCATTTCCCACCATGTTTGAAACAGAAACCGTCGGTGCTGCTCTCGGCTCGAGGGGTCTGCAGTCCTCTCCCAGCACAGCCTTCACCGCCCCTCGCGCTCCGAGCTGACATTTCATACAAAAAGGGGCTTTTGAACCATTTTGTTCTGTTTGCAGTGGACACACAAGTGCTAAAACAGCAAATTCATCTCCTGGCCGAGGGCAGCGGGGCACGAGCACGTCCAGCTCAGCTCGGCCGCCAGGACTCGGGGAACGTTTGCCGTGAATCCTCCCGGAGGTTCCTCCCCAAAAGCTCGGTGGAACTCGGGGAACGTTTGCCGTGAATCCTCCCGGAGGTTCCTCCCCAAAAGCTCGGTGGAACTCGGGGAAGGTTTGCCGTGAATCCTCCCGGAGGTTCCTCCCCAAAAGCTCGGTGGAACTCGTGCCTCCACTCTCGGCCCCGGGCATCCCACACGCGCAGAGCCCCGGGCCGGGCTCCCGGGGGCACGGCCGCATCCTGGAGGGCCTCAGGCGGGTGCAAGGGAACACACAGACACAGGGAATCGCAGGAACAGCCCCAGAGCCCACCCTCCCCCCTTTTCCCAAAGTTTCTCGGTGCTGTTGGACAAAGTCTGGATGTCGCACGGAGCGGCCTCTTCCCCCCAACAACAGAGTCCAAGCTCCGCGGGCCTCGCCGGCTCCCCGGTGGTCAAGGGCTGGGCAGCAGCGGCAGCAGCAGCTGGGGCCGCTTCCAGAAAAGCTCGGGATGAGGGTGCGCGGCTTTAGGATTGCTTCAGCCGCTTGCGGGGCGGGCCCAGGAACGGGCACTGCGCCGAGGCCAGCGAGCGATAGGCCTCGGCCACCAGGTGGGGGTGGGACACCACCATGGACTTCCAGCCCGACGTCTCCATCACGTCCGAGGCGTGGCTGCAACACACACAGGGCGGCCGGAGCCACTGGGGTGACTGGGAGCAAACTGGGAATAAACTGGGAATGGGGACTGGGGTAACCGGGAATGGGGACTGGGGTAACTGGGAATGGGACTGGGTAACTGGGAGCCAACTGAGAATAAACTGGGAATGGGGACTGGGGTAATCGGGAATGGGGACTGGGGTAACCGGGAATGGGGACTGGGGTAACCGGGAATGGGACTGGGATAACTGGGAGCAAATTGGGAATAAACTGGGAATGGGGACTGGGGTAACTGGGAATGGGGACTGGGGTAATCGGGGTGAGGGACTGGGGTAACTGGGAGCAAACTGGGAATGAGACCTGGGAATGGGGACTGGGGTAATCGGGAATGGGGACTGGGGTAACCGGGGTGAGGGACTGGGGTAACTGGGAGCAAATTGGGAATAAACTGGGAATGGGGACTGGGGTAACTGGGAGTGGGGACTGGGGTAACCGGGAATGGGGACTGGGGTAACTGGGAGTGGGGACTGGGGTAACCGGGAATGGGGACTGGGGTAACTGGGAATGGGGACTGGGGTAACCGGGAATGGGGACTGGGGTAACTGGGAGCAAACTGGGAACAGGACTGGGAATGGGGACTGGGGTGAGGGACTGGGATAACCAGAAGCAGACCAGGATCAGGGACTGGAATAACTGGGAACAAACTGGGATTAGGAATGGGGATAACTGGGAGCAAACTGGGATTAGAGACCAGAATAATGGGGAACAAACTGGGATTAGAGACCAGAATAATGGGGAACAAACTGGGATTAGGGACCAGGATAACGGGAGCAAACTGGGACTAGGGACCAGGATAACGGGAGCAAACTGGGATTAGAGACCAGAATAATGGGGAGCAAACTGGGATTAGGGACCAGGATAACGGGAGCAAACTGGGACTAGGGACCAGGATAACGGGAGCAAACTGGGATTAGAGACCAGAATAATGGGGAGCAAACAGGGATTAGGGACCAGGATAACAGGAGCAGCCCTCCAGGCTCTTGCCAGGGCCCTGAGGAACTCGGGGGGTTCCTCCTCCTGGGCTCTCTCAGGTGTCTGAGGGGTCTGGCCCCATTTCAGGCCTGGAGCTCAGGAGAAGCTGCAGACTCCAGGTGGGATGGCAGAACACAGAGCTCATCCCAAGCCCAGCTCTGGGCACAGGAATGGTTGAAATCGATATAAAAAGCACTGAAGGAGTGCACCGAGTGACAGAAATGTTCCATTTATTAAAGCTTGGCAGGGATTTTCCATCTGCTGCCGGATTGAGAGCTGGAATCAATCCCTCAGCATCAAATCATGGAATGCTTTGGGCTGGAAGGACCTTAAAGCTCATCCAGCTCCATGGGCAGGGACGGCTGCTCCCAGCCAGGACCATTCCAGGACCAGAACTCCCTGATCCTGCCCTGCCTGATCCCAGCGAGCTCCAGAGCAGCTCCCAGGCTGTTCCCACTCTGGAGAACCCAAGGCTGGCCTGGGTTTGGGGCAATTCCATGAGTGGAATGCTGGATAAACCATGGATGACAGGGAGGGAGCTCAAAAATGACAGAGGAAAACCTTCCCTGCATGGGCCAGTGCGGGAGAGGAACAGCTAAAAACAAATCCTGGAATCTTGGGAGTGGGAGGGAGCCCAGCCTTGGTTTGTGTGGAGTGAGCAGTGGGAGAGGAAAGAGAAGGGGGAAAGGAAAGGGGAAAAGGGAAAGGGGAAAAGGGAAGGGGAAAAGGGAAAGGGGGAAAAGGAAAGGGGGAAAAGGAAAGGGGAAAAGGGAGGGGGAAAAAGGGAAGGGGGAAAGGGAAAGGGGGAAAAAGGGAAAGGGGGAAAAAGGGAAGGGGGAAAAGGAGGAAAAGGGGAAAAGGGAAGGGGGAAAAGGGAAGGGGGAAAGGGAAAGGGGGAAAAAGGGAAAGGGGAAAAGGGAAAGGGGGAAAAAGGGAAAGGGGGAAAAAGGGAAGGGGGAAAAGGAGGAAAAGGGAAAAAGGGAAGGGGGAAAAGGGAAGGGGGAAAAGGGAAAGGGGAAAAGGGAAAGGGGAAAAGGGAAAGGGGGAAAAGGGAAAGGGGGAAAAAGGGAAGGGGGAAAAGGAGGAAAAGGGAAAAAGGGAAGGGGGAAAAGGGAAGGGGGAAAAGGGAAAGGGGAAAAGGGAAGGGGGAAAAGGGAAGGGGGAAAAGGGAAGGGGGAAAAGGGAAGGGGGAAAAGGGAAGGGGGAAAAGGGAAAGGGGAAAAGGGAAGGGGGAAAAGGGAAGGGGGAAAAGGGAAGGGGGAAAAGGGAAGGGGGAAAAGGAAAGGGGAAAAGGGAAGGGGGAAAGGGGAGGGTTTGTCCACCCTGGAGCAATTACTCACTAATTAATGAAGTCAACGGCCTGGGTTTTGAGCTGGTCTGCGCTGTGCAGGTCAGCCAGGATCAGGATCTCAGCTGCGTTCTCCACGGACAGGTTACTGCAGAGAGCATCCTCACACATCACCTTCAGCCTCTCCAGGGCATACTGGGGATAAAAACATGGAATTACACCCAAAATTACACCCAAAATTACCCCTGGGTACTGCCCAGGGACCCTCACACATCACCTTCAGCCTCTCCAGGGCACAAACCCATGGAATTCCAGCAGGGAACCCCTCGGGGCTGGGAACCCTCAAGCTGTGCTCCTCCACCCCAGGTTTCCACCCAGGAATGTTCTGTGCCCTGAGCTGGGATCCTTTTGTGGGATCTTTGCCATGGGATCAGCCCCATCACTATAAATGGATTTATTGATGAATTGACTCTAGGTTGTGACTGAGACTTTCCCCTGCCAGGATTGGATTGAAATGCAGAATTCCAGCTGATGAACCCCATTTTCCCTCAAGCCTGGCTGATAACAGAAGCAGAGCACTCGGAGTTTTCTCAGGCAAATTGAGAGGGCAAATCAAATTTCTTTGCTAATCTGTCTCAATAAATAAAGCAGTTTATGGGGCCAGCCATGAGTTTGGATAATTGCCTGTCAGAGCCTCCAAATGTAACAAATAAAGCTGGGCACTCTCCTGCTGCAGATGGAACATTCTCCTCCTCGTAGCCACTTTTTAGTTTCATTTTTGCTACAAATAACTCATTTCTAATTACATTGTTGGCCCCCAGCGGCCACTGTGGGCTCTCAGCAGCAACATTTCCCCTTCCTCCTTTTTTAATTCCACCTCAACTCCCCCCAGCCTCCTGCACTGGGAGCTCCTGGAGTTGAATTTTGGCTGGGTTTGGGCTAATTACAGCTTTTTCCTAAGAGACAGCAGAGCTCTGAGGGAGCTGCTGCAGTCCCCGGGGTAAATATTGGATGCTTTATGTGTTTTCATGGAGGAGTTTTTTTATTCCTGCTTTTAAGGCACACAATGAGCTGCAAAGGGAAAGCAAAGCTGTGTTAAAAGGCAGCAAAGTCAGAATTAAAGCTCTCCCTGCCCTAAGTGCTGCTCCTCCAGTCAATACCTTGGATGAATGTGGGCATGGCTGTGTGGAATCTCCTGGCTCTGATTCCCACCTCAATCCCAGCTGGAATGGAGCTTTTCCCTCTGATCCAGCCTGGGATGGAGCTCAGGGACACAAAGGGGCACAAAGCACCCCCAGACCAGGAGAATCCCAGAATTCCAGGAGCAGGGAGAACCCCAGGATTTCAGGAACAGGAAAAAACCCAGGATTTCAGGAGCAGGGAAAATCCTAGGATTCCATGAGCAGGAAAAGTCCCAGGATCCCATGAGCAGGAAAAGTCCCAGGATCCCATGAGCAGGGAGAACCCCAGGATTCCATGAGCAGGAAAAACCCCAGGATCCCATGAGCAGGGAAGAACCCCAGGATTCCATGAGCAGGAAAAACCCCAGGATTTCAGAAGCAGGGAAGAACCCCAGGATTCCATGAGCAGGAAAAACCCCAGGATTTCAGGAGCAGGGAAGAACCCCAGGATTCCATGAGCAGGAAAAACCCCAGGATCCCATGAGCAGGGAAGAACCCCAGGATTCCATGAGCAGGAAAGAACCCCAGGATTTCAGGAGCAGGAAAAATCCCAGGATTTCAGGAGCAGGAAAAACCCCAGGATTCAGGCTCCAGATTGGCTCTTTTCCTAACAGAGTCACTTCTAAGGGAAAAAAGAAGAAAAAGGGAACGGTTTGGGCTGTAAATGATGGATTTTCAGGGGTTTACAGAGCTCTCATTCCCATCTCTGGGGCTGCAAAGAGAGGGGAAGAGCCCCAGGGAATTCCAGCAGAGCCCTAGGGAATTGCAGAAGCTCCCAGGAGCAGCAGGGACTGGCACTGCAGCAGGAAAACCAACAGCATTTCCCACTCCTGGGTTTCCAGAGCCTCGGGGCTGACAGGAGGCAGGGCAGGAGGAGAACTGTTTGTCCAGACTCTGCACTGCTCCGGGGATTTGGGAATAACCACATGGAAAAACATCCCTGGGTCTGCTCTGTAATTGTCTCCTCAGCCCAGCTCGGCTCACGCTGAACAGGCTCTTCTGGGAGCGCCAAAAAATCCTTAAAAATGAGCAGCAGAGCAAAAATTCCTGATTGTTTAATGGGAGGATCTGCAGCAGAGCTTCCTCTGGAAGCTTCAAAAATGCTTAAAAATGAGCAGTGGGGACAGAAATCCCTGAGGGGCCTGTGCAGCTCCAGGTGTGCTCTCTGCTGGTGCAGGGGTGTTCCCCGGTTTCCCTGGAAGCCCCAATTCCAAGGAAAGGCAATCCCATGGCATTCCAGCTCCCCCAAATCCTGAGTTTACCTTGTCAGCAGCTGCCAGCAGATCATCAGCCATCTTGTCCAGGTTTGGGGCCTTCCCAGTGTAGATGAAACACATCATCTCCTTAAACACCTCGGGCTCCACGTCGTTGATCTCAACCCGGTTCTGCAAGGGGAAAATGGGAAAATGGAGCTTTTTGGGGTCTGCCGAGGGGCTCCAGGGCTGCTCCTGCCCCAGAACCCCCCAGGGCCAGAGGGAAAGGGGTTACAAGGAGCTGAACTTGAGAAAGAAGGGGAAAAAAGGGGGAAAAGGATTTGGGAAATGGAGGGGGGAAAAAGGAAGGGGAAAAAGGAAGGGGAAAAAGGAAGGGGGGGAAAAGGAAGGGGGAGAAAAGGAAGGGGGAAAAAGGAAGGGGGGAAAAGGAAGGGGGGAAAAGGAAGGGGGAAAAAGGAAGGGGGAAAAAGGAAGGGGGGAAAAGGAAGGGGGGAAAAGGAAGGGGGGAAAAAGGAAGGGGGGAAAATGGAGGGGGGAGAAAAGGAAGGGAGGAAAAGGAAATATGTGGATGGAGTAAGAACAACTCCAAGCTGTATCCCACATTCTCCGCTTCTTCCTGGACCCCCCCAGCCTCCTTGCCAAGGGACAGTTGATCCCAGACCCCTCTTTCCCTTTTCTCCTCCCATTTTGTGCTCAAGGAAGGGCCCCCTTCAGGAGCAGAGGTGTTCCTGTGTGAGAGAAGCAGCTGCAGGTGCCAGAGGGGGATCCCAGCATGGATCACCTGAGCAGGACCTTTCCCTGCTGGGTGTTCCTGATCTGAGCAGGATCTTTCCCTGCTGGGGTCTCCCTCCCCTGCAGGACCTTTCCCTTTTGGGTGTTTCCCCCCTGCTCTCACCTTTTTGCTCTCCTCCATCTCGTGCTCGAACATGGCGCTGAACACCGGGGAGCGCGCTGTGGGGAACGGGACACGCTGGGAATGCTGCACCCCCTGGAAGGGCTGGAGCTGCTCCCAGCACTTCCCACCAGGCACTGCCCGGGGTAATGGCATTCCCAGAGCAGCTCTGCCTGCCCCTGGATCTCTGGAAGTGGCCCAGGCCAGGCTGGATGGGGCTGGGAGCACCCTGGGGTTGTGGAAGGTGTCCCTGCCGTGGATGAGCTCTGAGCTCCCTCCATCCCCCCATTCCCTCCATCCCAAACCATTCCTTCCATTGCTTCCATCCCAAACCATTCCTTCCATCACCTCCATCCCAAACCATTGTCTCCATCCCAGATCAATCCCTCCATTGCAAACCACTCCTCCCCCATTCCACCATTCCCTCCACACCCCCAATCCCTCCATCCTAAACCATTCCCTCCCATTCCCCCATCCCAAACCATTCCCTCCATCCCAAATCATTCCTTCCATTGTCTCCATCCCAAACCATTCCCTCCATCTCAAACCATTCCCCCCATTCCCTCTCATCCCAAACTACTCCCCCATTTTCTCCATCCCAAACCATTCCCTCCATCCCAAACCATTCTCCCCATTCTTTCCCATTCCAAACCACTCCCAGTCCCTCCATCCCAAATCATTCCCTCCATCCCAAACCATTCCCCCATCCCAAACCATTCCTTTACATTCCCTCTATCCCAAACCATTCTCTCCATCCCAAACTATTCTCCCCATTCCCTCCATCCCAAACCATTCCCTCCATCCCAAACCATTTCCCCCATTTTCTCCATCCCAAACCATTCCCTCCATCCCAAACCACTCCCACCCCATTCCCCCCATCCCAAACCGTTCCCTCCCATCCCAAACCGTTCCCTCCCACCCCAAATCACTCCCTCCCATCCCAAACCATTTCATTCATCCCAAACCATTTTCTCCATCCCAAACCACTCCCTCCATCCCAAACCACTTCCTCCATCCCAAACCACTCCCACCCCATTCTCCCCATCCCAAACCATTCCCTCCCATCCCAAACCATTCCCCCCATCCCAAACCATTCCCCCCATCCCAAACCGTTTCCTCCATCCCAAATCACTCCCTCTCATTCTCTCCATTCCAAACCATTTCCCCCATTCCCTCCATCCCAAACCATTCCCACCCCATTCCCCCCATCCCAAACCACTCCCTCCATCCCAAACCACTCCCACCCCATTCCCCCCATCCCAAACCATTCCCTCCCATGGAAGCCACTCCCCATGCCCTTGGTGCCCCGGGCAGCCCCACCTGCCAGGATGGCTTTGTGGCCCTTGAACTCCTGGCCGGCCACGCAGAGGCAGCAGTCGGTGAAGCGCGAGTTCTCCCAGAGCCCGCCCAGCTCGTCGGCCAGGCGGCACTCGGGCACCTTGACCATGTTCATGGTGTTCTGGCCCGAGATGTTCACCGAGTCCTGCACCACGCTCACCTGGGGACAGGGACACCGCACTGCCCTGCCCTGCTCCCAGGGCACACCCACAGCCCTCACTGTGCACTGGGGGGTTCAAATCTCCCCGCTCTTAAAGGATCCTCTGCAGAGACCCCTGCACCAGGGTCTCCATCCCAAACCCCAAATACAGATTTCCCCCCCAGCCCCACACTGACAGCACGGCCATGAATCCATGAGGAGGTTTCCGAAGGAAGTGGAACCGGATTTTTGCTCTTTCCTGATTTTTTCCACACACCACACCTGACCCAGTTTCTCCTTCCATCCTCGTGAAACTCCCCAATCAATAATGCAGCAGCCACCACTCCAGGGGAGGTGAGGGACACACAGAGCTCCCAGAGCCAGCACGGGCCCACAGGGCAGGGCTGACCCCTCAGTGCCCTCCTGCTTCTCCTCCAGGAGAGTTAAATATTCCCCAACACAATGAAACCCCGCGCCAGACTGAGCCAAACAAACCCCAGGTTATGCAGACAGGGAAGGAGATGTGGAGGAGGCAATTCCCAATCCCTGCTCCAAGGTGAGGAATCTTGGAAGGGCCCCCTGGTTAAACCCAGGTAAATCACAGCCGCAGCAGAGGCCAATTAGCAGAGCTCTGATTAATTGTGCCCTGCTGCAATCAGGAATGATGAGGGGAAGCAGAGGTGAGGCCATTCCCTGGATTTGCTGTTCAGCCCAAGGTAAATTCCAGCTCTGTTCAGAAACAAGGGAGAGCAAGGACGGCCAGGGAAGCTGGAAGTGAAGGAAAGGAAAAGGAAAAGGAAAAGGAAAAGGAAAAGGAAAAGGAAAAGGAAAAAGGAGAAAGGAGAAAGGAAAAAGGAAAAAGGAGGAAAGAAAAAGGGAGAAAGGAAAAGGAGAAAGGAAAAGGAAAAAGGAAAAAGATCCAGCCTTGGATGCCAGACTAGGTGAGGATTTGTTTCTGCCATGCCAGACTCTCCTTTCTCCTCCCATTTTGTGCTCAAGGAAAGGCTCCCTCCATCCCCAGGAATTTCTGCTGCTGATCAAACATCCTTGAGATGTTTGTTCATTTAAGCATGTGCATGATTATGATGGCCAAAACCTGAAAAAAAAAAACCACCCCAAAAACAAACCAAAACCCTCCCAAAAATCCCAGCTGTCAAAGGACTTTGAAGCCCTTCTTTTATTCCTGAAAAGAAAACACAGCAAAAGAAAAGACTCCCAGAAAAAAAAGTGCAGGAGATGCAAGGAGAGAACAACTTGTTCTGCTCTCTTCTGGTAAAAAAATACCAGCTCCAGGAGGGGGTTTGCAGTTAAAAAGACAATGGGAGCGAGGCAGAAGAAGCTCTGAAGACACTAAATTAGAGTTTCTATTTGCTCATTAAGGTTTTTCAACTTAAATCTCTGGGTTTGGAAATAACTGGCTGCATCTTTGCCTGGAATAGCACAAGTGAAATAATAATGGTGTTGTAGAAAAACACAAACACCACGACCAGAAAATGGTGATTACTGCAAAATCCCCTTTTCTCACATTTTTCTCCTTGCTGGCTGTGCAGACACACTGAAGGAAATAAAGAGGAGCTCTCTCTTATTGAGCAGGGCAGTTCCCAGTGCAGATCCAGGCTGTGATTATCCCAAGCAAGCCCCAAATCAAGGAGCACAAACAGAGGGATGGCAACACCAAAGCACCAGGAAATGATCCCCAAACCTGCCCAGTTCCCACCATCATTCCAGGGAAAAGCCGAGCAGGGAGCAGCCAAAAGGCAGAGGGATGAGCCAGGAGGGGAAAAAGGCCCAGCCAGAGCAGAGAATGCCAGGGACAGAACAGGCAGCAGTGATCTGACCTGGGAGAGGGGGTGAGGGCAGCCCTGCCTGGGCTGGGGAGATGTGTGGGGCTGGGGGGGCTGTGTGGGGCTGGGGGGGCTGTGTGGGGCTGGAGCAGGGCTGGGGAGATGTGTGGGGCTGGGGGGGCTGTGTGGGGCTGGAGCAGGGCTGGAGGAGCTGTGTGGGGCTGGGGGAGCTGTGTGGGGCTGGGGGAGCTGTGTGGGGCTGGAGCAGGGCTGGGGGAGCTGTGTGGGGCTGGAGCAGGGCTAGGGGAGATGTGTGGGGCTGGAGCAGGGCTGGGGAGATGTGTGGGGCTGGGGGGGCTGTGTGGGGCTGGAGGAGCTGTGTGGGGCTGGAGCAGGGCTGGGGGAGATGTGTGGGGCTGGGGGGGCTGTGTGGGGCTGGAGCAGGGCTGGGGGAGATGTGTGGGGCTGGGGGGGCTGTGTGGGGCTGGAGCAGGGCTGGGGAGCTGTGTGGGGCTGGGGGAGCTGTGTGGGGCTGGGGGAGCTGTGTGGGGCTGGAGCAGGGCTGGGGAGCTGTGTGGGGCTGGGGGAGCTGTGTGGGGCTGGAGCAGGGCTGGGGAGTTCTGTGGGGCTGGGGGAGCTGTGTGGGGCTGGGGGAGCCCTGTGGGGCTGGAGCAGGGCTGGGGAGCTGTGTGGGGCTGGAGCAGGGCTGGGGAGTTCTGTGGGGCTGGGGGAGCCCTGTGGGGCTGGAGCAGGGCTCACCTCACAGAACAGGGTCAGTTTGTCATCTGGCAGGAGCCCATTGGCCTCGTCCAGCAGGAAATCTCTCCTGATGAACTTCTTGAAGCCCCAGTCCTTGCCTTGCACGAAGCGATAGGCGCGCTGGCTCTCTGTGGACAGGCCTGGCTTAACCCGGGCCAGGGGCACAGCAAAGCCCAAACCCTGGCCCAGCTCAGCCCAGGAGGGGTCTCACCCACCCCAGGAGGGGTTTTCCTCCCCCAGAGGGGTCTCACCCACCCCAGGAGGGGTTTTCCTCCCCCAGAGGGGTCTCACCCACCCCAGGAGGGGTTTTCCTCCCCCGGAGGGGTCTCACCCACCCCAGGAGGGTTTCCCTGCCCCACAGGGGTCCCACTCACCCATGGCCTTGGTCTCCTCTCCCTTGGCGTTGAGGATGGAGAATTTGAACTTGGCCCTGACCTCGCTCTTGGGGCAGCTCACCAGCAGCAGGTACAGGGACAGGTAATCCTTGCTCTCCTCGTCCAGGCCCTTGGGGTTCACACGTAAACACCTGCAAAAGGGGGGGTGGGCATGGCAGCAGGGCAGGGATGCCCCCAAAGGAAGGGCACTGTGGGATTTGGACATTTGCACAGCAAACAAGGGCTCCAGGGGGCTGAAAGGAGCAGAGCTGGGGTACAGCTGCACCCCCACCATGAGATAAACAACCAGGAATTATGGGCAGCCCAACAAATCCCTAGGGAAAAGAGCTGGAGAAGGGCTGGAATCACTGAGAAGCCCCCTGGATGCCAATCCTCACAAAAGGAAAGTGAAATAAATAAAATGGAGGCAATGGGCTGGAGGAAGTGCAACAAATAGAGAGAAATGGTTGATAAAATGCCACAGGAGGCAACTGCAAGGAACAAGGGATCTGTGGAAGGCTGGTGGTTCTTCAACAAAAAAAAAATACCAGGGTTAAAAGGAAAAACTCCTCCTGTGTGAAGAAAAGGCAGGAAGAGGCTCTTCCATGACCTGAAACATGACACAGAATCCACCAAGAACAAAAAGCAGAGAGATAATGAACAGCTCCCACACACAGGGACCGAATCCACAGATCCAGATGTTCCAGGGAGGGCTGAGAGCACAGGGGACAAAGGTGACAGGAACAAAGGCAGGCCAAGGAAAGCACAGCTCTGCCACCCGAGGGAGGGAGCTCACACTGTATCCCATGGATACAATTCATCCAGGGGCTGCTTCCCACCAGTGGGGCTGGAAAGGGAAATTGTGAAGCACTCCACAGCAGGGGAAAACCAGGAGTCAGAGCCCATGGATGCACCAGGACACGGCTCAGAGCAGATACAGGCTCCGAGCAAAGTCCACTCTCAGTTACTGGAAATGATTGAGGCCTCAGGGAAGATAAGGAAGGTTTAGAGGAAAGGGAAAGGCTCCAAATGAGGTCACCCTGAGGAGGCAGCAGCAGTGAGAGGACATTGGCACTTGCCTCATCCCTGTGTCCTCCACGGCCACAAAAAGCTGCCACTCACACAAAGGGAATTCACAGCAGGAGAAATTCACTTTGGAACCCCTTGGAGTACGAGGGGCTGGAACTGGGAGGGTGATTTGGGCTGTGCACCCTCCCAGCCTCACCTGGGCTCAGCACAGAAATGTGTTTGAGGCTAAATGTTGGTTTGTGTGCAAACAACGCTGAGCCATCGGGGCTCTCATTAGGATAATGATGTTCCCATGGATTCCCCAAAGCCCAGCTGGGGTGAGCCCCTCTCCATGGCCTCACCACTTGAGCTTGTCGTTGGCTCCAGAGGAAAAGGTCGAGCTCTTGATGACCTCCCCCATCTCCTCCCGGCAGAAGCTGAAGTTGTTGATGGTCCACATGTAGGAGAACTTCACCACCTTGATCTGCATGGAGACAACAGCAGCTTTGGGTCAGCCCTGCCCATCCCCAGGGACAAAGAGCGGCACCACAGCTCTGGGTGGGGGACCTGGAGTTGTGGGAATGGCTCCAGGGGCTCCTGCAGGGCCTGAGGAGCATCGGGTGCAGCCGTGTGATAGGTGCAGTGTGGGGCTGGTGGAACTGATGTGCAACTGCTGTGCAACTGCTGTGCAACTGCTGTGATTGCTCTGTGTGACAATTGCAGTGTGGGGCTGGTGGAACTGATGTGCAACTGTTGTGAACTGCAGTGATTGCTGTGGAACTGCTGTGATTGCTCTGTGTGGAACTGCAGCGTGTAACTGCTGTGTGTAACTAGAGTGTGGAACTGCAGTGTGATTGCTGTGTGCAACTGCTGTGTGTAACTAGAGTGTGTAACTGGAGAGTGTGATTGCTGTGTGCAACTGCTGTGTGTAACTGCAGAGTGTGATTGCTGTGTGGAACTGCTGTGTGTAATTAGAGTGTGGAACTGCAGAGTGATTGCTGTGTGGAACTGCTGTGTGTAACTAGAGTGTGTAACTGCAGTGTGATTGCTGTGTGTAACTGCTGTGTGTAACTAGAGTGTGGAACTGCAGAGTGATTGCTGTGTGGAACTGCTGTGTGTAACTAGAGTGTGTAACTGCAGTGTGATTGCTGTGTGTAACTGCTGTGTGTAACTAGAGTGTGTAACTGCAGTGTGATTGCTGTGTGCAACTGCTGTGTGTAACTAGAGTGTGTAACTGCAGTGTGATTGCTGTGTGTAACTAGAGTGTGTAACTGCAGTGTGATTGCTGTGTGTAACTGCTGTGTGTAACTAGAGTGTGTAACTGCAGTGTGATTGCTGTGTGGAACTGCTGTGTGTAACTTCAGTGTGTAACTGGAGAGTGTGATTGCTCTGTGTAACTGCTGTGTGTAACTAGAGTGTGTAACTGCAGTGTGATTGCTGAGTGTAACTGCTGTGTGTAACTAGAGTGTGTAACTGGAGAGTGTGATTGCTGTGTGCAACTGCTGTGTGTAACTGCAGAGTGTGATTGCTGTGTGGAACCGCTGTGTGTAACTTCAGTGTGTAACTCCTCCATGTAAATAGTCTGTGTGTAACTGCTGTGTGTGATTGCTGAGTGTAACTCCTCCATTTAAATGCCCTGTGTGTAACTGCAGTGTGTGATTCTTGTGTATAACTAGTGTGTAACTGCAGAGTGATTGCTGTGTGTAACTGCTGTGTGTAACTAGAGTGTGGAACTGCAGTGTGATTGCTGTGTGGAACTGCTGTGTGTAACTAGAGTGTGTAACTGCAGAGTGTGATTGCTCTGTGTAACTGCTGTGTGTAACTAGAGTGTGTAACTGCAGTGTGATTGCTGTGTATAACTAGAGTGTGTAACTGCAGTGTGATTGCTGTGTGTAACTGCTGTGTATAACTAGAGTGTGTAACTGCAGTGTGATTGCTGTGTGTAACTGCTGTGTGTAACTAGAGTGTGTAACTGCAGAGTGTGATTGCTGTGTGGAACTGCTGTGTGTAACTAGAGTGTGTAACTGCAGAGTGTGATTGCTGTGTGGAATTGCTGTGTGTAACTAGAGTGTGTAACTGGAGAGTGTGATTGCTCTGTGTAACTGCTGTGTGTAACTAGAGTGTGTAACTGCAGTGTGACTGCTGTGTGTAACTGCTGTGTGTAACTCCCTGTGTGTACCTGCAGTGTGTAACTCCCTGTGTGTAACTCCCTGTGTGTACCTGCAGGCCCCACAGCCCCCCAAAGCCCAGGAACACAGCCATGCCATGCTGTGCCGTGCCATGCCATGCCATGCCATGCCATGCCGTGCCATGCCGTGCCAGCTGACCTGTGTGTAGCACCAGCTCTCGGCCACGGGCCCGCTGGACATCTCTGCCGGAGGGGGGGGACTCGGCACCCTGGACATCGCCAGCTTGGAATCGGGCAGGGACAGGCACAGGAACGGAGCTCAGCTGCACCTGGGGAGAGGGACAACAAAATCAGAGTGGGAATGGGGCTGAAATTCAGCTGGGGGAGAGAAACCACCAAAATCAGTGTGGGAATGGGGCTGGACTTCACCTGAGGGGCAAAGGAACACCAAAATCAGTGTGGGAATGGGGCTGAAATTCAGCTGGGAGGCAAAGGAACACCAAAATCAGTGTGGGAATGGGGCTGAAATTCAGCTGGGGGAGAGAAACCACCAAAATCAGCATGGGAATGGGGGCTCAGCTGCACCTGGGGAGAGGGACAACAAAATCAGTGTGGGAATGGGGCTGGACTTCACCTGGGGGGGAAAGGAACACCAAAATCAGGAACCAGCATGGGAATGGGGGCTCAGCTGCACCTGCGTGAGAGGAAAACCAAAATCAGCGTGGGAATGGGGCTGAAATTCAGCTGGGAGAGAGGAACACCAAAATCAGTGTGGGAATGGGGCTGAAATTCAGCTGGGGGGAAAGGAATCATAGAAATCAGCAACCAGCATGGAAACGGAGCTCAGCTGCACCTGGGGAGAGAGGAACACCAAAATCAGTGTGGGAATGGGGCTAGACTTCAGCTAGGAGAGAGAGGAACACCAAAATCAGCAACCGGCATGGAAACGGAGCTCAGCTGCACCTGGGGAGAGGGACAACAGAAATCAGAATGGGAATGGGGCTGAAATTCAGCTGGGAGAGAGGAACCATAGAAATCAGCATGGGAATGGGGCTGGACTTCACCTGGGTGGGGAAAGGAATCATAGAAATCAGGAACCAGCATGGGAATGGGGGTGAACTTCACCTGGGAGAGGGAGGAACCATAGAAATCAGCATGAGAATGGGGCTGGATTTCACCTGGAAGAAAGAGAACCACCAAAATCAGCAACCAGCATGGGAATGGGAGCTCAGCTTCACCCGGGGGAGAGGAACACCAAAATCAGCATGGGAATGGGGCCAGACTTCACCTGGGGGGCAAAGGAGAGAAACACAGAAATCAGCAACCAGCATGGGAATGGGGCTGAACTTCACCTGGGAGAGAGAGGAACACCAAAATCAGCAACCAGCACAGAAATGGGGGCTCAGCTGCACCTGGGGGCACAGAGAGACAGCCCCCGTCAGAACTGAGGACAAATCAAACTAAACTCGAGTGGCTCAACTTCCCAGGACACAAATTCCTCTCTCCTCTGCAAACACCCCCAAAACGCGACGCTGCACTGGAAGGGTGCGTGGAAACGTTTGCAGCGAACACAAAGCAGCCCAAAGGAGCCCAGGAGGAGGGGTTGGCACAGGGCAGAGCCTGGCTGAGCCTTCTGCCCACGGCTTTGTGTCCTGCAGCCCCTCACGCACGACGGGGCCGCGGATCCCTGCAGCAGCAGCAGCAGCCAGGGAAGGCAGGCAGGATTTGGGGATTGGCCACCTGTCTGCACGCTGAGCCACAAGATGGTCAGGGATGGAAAGGCTTCAGCAGGAGGAAACGCAGGGAATGAGCAAATCAACCATGAGAGCAGGCCATGAAACTGGATTTTGTGGTGAAAATTGCAGGAAATTTCAGTGGTTTAGTTTGTAACTAACACCTGTTTGCTCGTTGCCACACAAGGTATTCCGATCTCTGAAAATAAAAAATCTATTTAAGAAGAGTTAAAAAGATAGATTAAAAAAAATATATATAAAATCGACTTAAAATAACTTTGGAATTCCCTGAAACAGTGATTCCATGGGCAGAAGGTGGGAATGAAACCTCCAGCCACGATGGAATTCTCCATTGGCTGGGTTTGCCTGCTCAGGACACTCCAGGTGCCACTTCAGGTGTCACCAGGTGTCCCCTCCCCAGCACTGCTGGCACCTCTGCACTGCAGCTGGATGGAAAAGCACGGCAGGCACAGAGCTTTGAGGGGAATATCTGGGAAATAATTCGGATATCAGGGCTCAGGAGAGGCAGGGAAACACGTCAGGCACAGGCAGAAATATCAAGCCACAGGAAAGCAAACAGAAAATATTATTTTATGGCCCCCTGTGTACAGTGAGAGTTTGCTACTCCTGGGCTATAAATAACAAACTCCTGGCTCGGGACAGAGCTGAAATCACAGCTCAGAGCAGAGCAGTTCTCACCCACTCCCAAGCACTTCCAGATGGAGACATTCGATCCAGGGCAGAGCCAGAGCACCTGGGGAGCACAGGAAATGTTCCCTTGTCACCCTGTCCTGCCAAAACCCCCTCCGGGCTCCACAGCTCGGCTCTGCCTTCAGCAGGGAAACCCTGAGACCTCACCTGCCACGGGTGGGCACAGAAACCCAGCAAACAACCCGGAACAGACTCCAGAATCACTGGAATTTTGTCCCAAAACTCGGTCATTTTCGTCCTCTCAGGATAAACAAACTCCCTCCTAAGAAACACAGCAGAAATTCCTGGGAATTTCCACTTCCAGCCAGGTTTATCCACAGAAAGGGAACTTGGGGAAGGGAAGGGAAAGGGAAAGGGAAAGGGAAAGGGAAAGGGAAGGAAAGAGGAAAGGAAAGGAAAAAGGAAAGGAAAAAGGAAAGGGGAAAGGAAAGGAAAAAGGAAAGGGGAAAGGAAAGGAAAGGAAAGGAAAGGAAAGGAAAGGAAAGGAAAGGAAAGGAAAGGAAAGGAAAGGAAAGGAAAGGAAAGGAAAGGAAAGGAAAGGATTTTTAATTGAGGGGTTCAAAAGCTGCGTGGCTGCTCCTGGGGCCAGCAAAGCACCAAAGAGTGCCCAGGAACAGTGCAGGGAGAGGGATCATGGAGCAGGAAAACAGGGATGAGGCAGGAAAAGCTCCTTCCCTCCCTGCTCCCTTCAAAGGTCGGCTTTGGAACAGGAAAAAGGGGAAAAGGGCAGGGAATGGAAGGGCAGAGCTCTCCTGACCCTGCCAGGCCGGTGCCAGCACGGGGGCAGTGCCAGCTGTGCCCTGCTGGGACACACAGGGGCTGTCCCCTCCAGAGACCCAAAATCCCAGACAGGGACTTCACCTGGTGAAAAGTCTCTGCATGACAGCACCCAAAATGTCCCTAAATGCCATCAAATTCAATGTTCATACCCTGAGCACCCCAGAGCATTTTCAGCAACGTTACTGACCCTACAAGACCCCTGATCTCTAAAATCAGCCCATTTTCACATTAACCTCTGGACCTCTGCTGTGTTTAATTCTGTCCCAGGTGTGCACAAGGCCTCTCCCTGCTGCTGGGAAATGATTTCTGTTATCACAGGTTGGATCAATTTTCAAAGCCTGAGTGTGGCACCAGACCCAGGCTCAAATGCACAACTTCAACCTTGTGTTTGTGCCCAAAGCCATTTCCAAATCCTGACCCAGAACTTCCCATGAGGATCTGTAACAGAGCTGAGAAAAGCTGAACCTAGGCCTTAATTTGAAAATCTCAGCTCTATTTTGTCCAAAATCAGCACATCCTCCCGGGTTCTGCTGCATGCATGGCCAAAGCAGCACCTTCCAGATGGGAATGTTTAATCCCTGCCACGATCCTGACTTTGTGAACTCCACAGATGCCTAAAAATAAACTTTATAAACTCCACAGATGTCTGAAACTCCCCGGAGCTGTGAGGCCAGCGACACCTCGATCACAGCAGTGCAAGCCCAGCCTGCAGCCAGAGAATTCCCTCCCAGGACACCCAGGAATTCCCAGGGTTCCCCAGAATTCCCAGGCACTGACCACAGCCACTGCTTTGGTGCCTTTCCAGCCCTAAAACTGTGGAGGGAAAACCCCAAAACAGCACCAGCCCCCCAGTTCCAGCTCATCCCTGCTCCTCCTCCTCCTCCTCAGCACAGAGACTTCCAGAACCTCTTTGCAACAGCACAAAACCCACAGGGAGCACCCACAGCTCCTGGGCCTGCACAGGACATCCCAAAACCCCATCCCAGGGCAGCCTTGGGAATGTGCTCGTTCCCTAGGTGCTGTTCTGGTGCCTCACCACCCTCTGGGGAAGAGCTTTTCCCTCAAATCCACCCTAAATCCCCACAATATCCCCCCCCCAAATCCCTCCTGACACAGCCTTGGGTCCTGTCCCTGCTCAGCAGAGAGAAGAGCTCAACACTCAATTACCACTCAGCTCCTTCCTCCCACAGCAAGCACCGCAGGGACATTTAAAAACACAAAAACAAAACAATCCAGTCTATTTCCAGGTATCTCTGAACCCCAGCAGCTCCTGTGCCTCCTCGGGGGTACAAACACCTCACCCTTCCTGCCCCATCAGGTGTTTCTGGACCTGGCCACGCGTTTCCATCCCAGGGCTCCCAACTGCAAGCCCAGACTCCCAGCAGCAGCTCCTGGACTGAGAACGGAGGAGCAGCAAAACCTTTAAAAGGGATTTGGCCGCCCCTGTTTGTTTATTTTGGGCTTTCTCCGTCTCCCCGCAGGTTTGTGCTATGTGAGCGGCAAACCCCAGCAGGGCCAGGCTGAGGAACCAGAGGGATCTTACATAAGCCTCCAGCAGGGCTGGCTGGGCAGCAGGGATCCCACAGGATCCCCTGCAATTCCCAGCAGAGCTCCCCCAGCAGCTCGGGGAGCAGCAGCACTCTGCAGGGTAACCCTGGCATGGGACGGTCCCAGGTGGGCACGGCGGGCAGCCAACCCCGCTGGGCACTGCCAGGACTGAAGCTGGCACGTGCCAGTCACAACAATCCCACCCAGGAGAGGCTCAGGGCACTCCCAGATTAACCCCGGAGCAAACTGGGCCAGGAGCTGCTCAGGTAACTGGTTTAACATTGAGCAGGGACACGGGCAGCGCTGGTGCCCCCTCCACAGGAAACCAGCAGGAAACTGGAGCCAGGATGGCACAAAAATCACGGGGTTTAAAGCACTTCAGTGTGGGCTGGGCTGGCAGCGATGCCCTCACTTTAACCCCCCTCCCTGACCTGTGTTTGTGCCCAAACCCCCGGGATTTTGGGGAGAAAAGGGGCGGGTTTATAACAGGAACTCCACTCCAGAGAATCGGGCTGTCAAACGTGGCAGCAGTTTCCATTCTGTGCCACTGTGCCCTGCTGATGGAGGGACAGGATGACAGCCTCGGGGCATTCTGTTGCTGGGCTGTCCTGAGCTCGACCCCACCCGTAACAAAGTAACAAAAAGAGGAAAAAAACCCAATCTGTTTTTGCTTCAGGTTGCAACAAAACAAGGGAGAAAATGACACCGGGTCGTTGTGGGCAGCTGGTTGGAAAATGTCACTGAAAGAGAAATCGGGTGGATGTTTTACTGAAGTGATTCAGGGTTTAGAGTCCTGTTTTATAAAGTGTCATTCTTCAAACTCTCACAGGGCTTCACAACAAGCCACCACTTAGAACTCCAAAGGCGAAGGGGGAAAAAGAGGAAACGAGGGGAAAGTGTTTCTTTTCCTTATGTCAGGACGATGCTGTAGAACCACAACACGAACACATTCAGCCATGCTGAGCTGGAGAGAGCTGACAGCAGATCTCATCACACCTGAGCTGTTCCTGCCCCTCCAAGAACTCCTGTCAGACCCAGACAATCCCCTCTCCCACTCCAGGCGCTCTGTTCTCCCTTTGGAACACCAGGAATGCGGGCGATGCTCGGCAGCAGCGCTCCAGGATGGCTCCAGCTCCCCGGCAAGGGGAATTATTTCCCTTTCCACACTGCAGGATGATGCACCATTTCCTCCAAGCAGCACCACAGGCCCGACACTCGCCTGGGGAGCAGAGCCGCGATCCCGGCTCGCATTCCCAGCGCTCGCAGCTCGGCTCCTGCCCCGGGGATGGGCTCACACCGGGGCCAGGCCACAACCTGTCACCCCTGAGCGCTGATGCCGCCGCTCCTCATCGCAGCGCTCCCACTCCGGCCCGCTCCGCTCTTTCCCACTCGTGCTCCCTCAGCCGGCTCCGGGCTCCCCACAGCCCCTGTGCCCCAGCCTGGCGATCTCCAGGAACCCTCGCTCCAGGTTTTTCCCCAACTTTTCCCCGCCGCCCCCCTCCCCTCGTCCCTCAGGCCCTGCGCTGCCCCCCCCCCCCCCCTCACAACTCCTTCCCCTCCGCTCTCACCTCGCGGCCCGAGGAGCGGCCCCGCCGGCGGTGCGGCGCTGCTGGGAGGCCGGAGGGAGGCGGGGAGCGGTGCCCGGGCAGGTGCGGTGTGTGGGGACGGCCCCGGACCCCGCAGCCCCCTCAGGAGACCACCAGCAGCTAGGGATCACTATTTGGCAGCATGTCCTCCCGGGCCGGTCTCCGCCGAGCGCGACCCGGGGATCACTATTGCGCAGGTGCCCGCAGCAGCTCAGCGCGCATGCGCGCGATGCCGGGGCGGCGGGGGGGGGGTCCGGGATATGGCGGTGCCCAGCTCTCCCCTCACGGCCGCGCACGCGCACTGCGGGACTGACGCCGCCGGCCACGCCCACCGCCTTTTATAGCCGTGCGCCCGTCGCGCGACACCGCTCCCCCCGCCGCGAGCACGCGCGGCCGGGCCGGCTCCTGCGCCTGCGCTGTGCGCAGACCCCTCTTTGTGGCAGGTCCCGTCCCTCCTGCGCTTTCACACTCAGATCACTTTGTGGCAGGCGTGCCCCGCCGGCCATGCCCCTCTGCTACCCACTGATGAACGCTCGTGTGGCAGCGCCGCGCAGCGTGCGCCCTGTGCCTCGCCCCGCAGCTCCCGTTCGGCACCGGCTGCTGCTGTCGCAGTGCCGTTCCACCGCGGGGTCGGTGCGGGCGGCGCTCTCGCTGCCCACATGTCCGCCGCAGAGCCCTGCCACACACGGCCCTCGCAAGCGGCACGGCCTTTCCGCTGTCGCTGGGGAGGTTTCTGGGCGTGCCATCGTCCTTTTTCTCACGTCTTCGTGAGGAGACACCTGCCTCAGGGAATGGTGGGAACCATCTCTCCTTCCCTCACAGCTCCATGAGGGAACACCTGCCCGAGGGAATGGCAGGAACTATCTCTCCTTCCCTCACAGCTCCATGAGGGAACACCTGCCCGAGGGAATGGCGGGAACCATCTCCTCTCACGGCTCCATGAGGGGACGCCTGCCCAAGAGAATGGCGGGAACCATCTCCCCTCATGAAGCCGTGAGGGGACACCTGCCTGAGGGAATAATGGGAGCCATCTCCCCTCACGGCTTTATGAGGTGACACCTATCTGAGGGAATGGCAGGAACCATCTCCCCTCACGGCTCCATGAGGGGACACCTGCCTCAGGGAATGGCGGGAACCATCTCCCCTCACGGCTCCATGAGGGTCTGTCTGCCCAAGGAAATGGCGGTTGCTGTTTCCCCTCACAGTTCTGTGAGGAAGTGTTACCAAAATCTTCCAAAAACATCGTGAAAAACAAGACTCCACCCGTTTTTCAGTGTTATCGAGTCAGGCCTTGCCTTCTTCTTGGCCCAGGCTCGTGTCTGGCTGACAAAGTTGCTCCACACCCACACTGATACAAAACTTTTCAACTTATTTATACATTTTAAGCAAAGGAAGCAATTAATTCATTGGTATGGCTCTTCTCTGCTACTTTGTAGTGGTTTGTAACCAGTGCAGCAAAGATGTCATTGTTACCAGTACTTAATTACCTGAACGTTTGTGAGAAGCTTATCCAGAGCGGCCTTCCCCTCCTCACTTCAGCCTCAGGGTGAATTCATTCCACTACACACAAAGCACCCCAAGAACTGAAACATCCAGGTTCCAAAGCACAGCCACACTTATTGAAATGGGAAATGCAAAATATTTTTGTCTTCTCTCTCTTTCTCCCAGGTGAGAAATGCTGCTGTGGGCCAGGGGCTGCCACAGCTGGTCATGGATTATTGGGAATATTCTCCACAGTGTCCCAGGTTTTCCTGGCAAGCGAATCTTCCTCTGAGCAATCCTGGGACCCTGATGCATTCCTCCGTGTCCCCAAGTGCTGCCCGTGGTGACAGAGCAGCAGGTGATGCTGCTGCTGAAGGAATGGCTCTGTGAGGTGCAGGGCTGGTGTTTGCATTCCGTGCTGGCCACACTCTTCTCCTGGAAACCGCCTTTCATCCCTCTCCCATCCCCGTTTCTATTCCCACCTAAGCTGCGGGTTTTTAGCGATGTGTTTCTCCTCTCAGAGCTGGAGCAGCAGAGGAAATTACAGCACCAGTTTCACAGACAACAAAGAGATCCCCCCCTCCTCCCCGGCAGCCTCTCTGCAACCAGAACAAACAGAAATTCTCCTTTAATCCAGCACTGGCCAAGTGTCACTCTGCAGTGGGGAATTCAAGTTTCTTTTCAGGTTCCCCTGATCAAAATTCTCTTGTTCCTAGGAAGTGAAAAATTAAATTGGGCACCTGTGGAAACGGAGGCGGAATTTCACCTCTCCTCCCTTTGCTAAAGTTATTTAGGCTCAGCTCTGTCCCCCTTGGTGGCTGGGAGAAGAGAATTGTTGTCACTTCTTCATGCCTGGGACACGATTCTGTGATAAATAAACAATTCCAGGCGCTTGGACCTTGGCTGTTGGGATGGGGATTTTGGTGTGCGTGAAGCGAGAGCCCTGAATTCCCACTCCGGGGACAATTCCCACCTGGATGGCAGCAGGCAGGTGGCATTTCCCTGTGACAAGGGACACCAAGTGCTGCAGCACCCCCGGCTCTGGAGGTGTCACCCTCTCACTTTGATTTCCACGGGAAGCTGATTAAACCGACGGCTCTGACAGGAGCCGTGTGCGAGAATTTTAACTAGCTGCTGCTTTTTAATATTCACTTCCTCTTCGGGCTTAATTATTTTGTTCCTGCGTTTTCCCTTTCAATTTACTAAAACTCCAGAAATGTAATTAGGGAGAGGCTGAGCTGCCAGTGATGGAACGGAGCAGCCCAGCCTGCAGCGCGGGCTGCAGGACAGGATTCCAATCATTATCCCCTTATCCAGCGAGGATCTGCGGCACGGCGGGACCGGAGCTGTTGAGAATGCAGCACTAATTAAACTCCCCTATCAGGAGAGGATGGAAGCGCAGTTATTTCATTATTTCCTGCATTTGCCAGCTCTCTTACGAACCCAAACAAACCCGCTGCAAACAAAGCCCGGCTCAATCGCGGGGGAGACTTAATGAGGCTTTAATTTGTGCAGCGCTCACGGAGCCGGTGCGAGGTGCTGCTCCCTCCGCCCGTGCCAGGGGCACCTGTGGCGCCCATTTCCCATCTGGACAGCACCGGGAGCCACAGATTGCCTCGGAACCTCGGCCAGCTCTGGGGCCGCGCTTGCTCTGTGTGCCATTTAAATCATAAATAACGTGCACACCGCATTATTTATTTTATTACACCACGGGCTGCCACGGTTTCGATGTGAAGTGGTCATTTTTTCGGTAACAGCCAATTAAGGATCCGTTCTCTCCCGCTGGTGCCGGGTGTTTCCATCCCTCGCAGATCTCCTGCGAGGTTTGTGCTGTCACAGCAGCCCCGGGCCTGTCACCTCAGCGAGCCCCAGGGGACGCTCGGGGGCCGGGGACAGGCAGAGCTGCTGGATCCGGCAATCCCTGAACCGTGGAAGGCTGAGCATCCTGCCGGGAAGGGGAACGGAGAGCCTGGGGGTTTTTTTGTTTATTTTGTTTTTTTGTTTTTTTTTTTGTTTTTTTTTTTAAATTTGTATTTGCTGCAGCCGTTATCTTCTGGGTGGGATTGACAGTGGAACAGCAAACCCTAAACCCAGCAGAGCCAGCTCCCCTTCCCTGCGGATCCACAGGGCAGGAGGGGAAGGGAAATATCCCCACTTCAGCAGCTCCTCGGGCAGAGAGAGGCTAAACAGTTATTTTCGTGTGTAAATAAAATATCGGTGCGTCTTACAGAAATACATCAAATATTGATGGTTTTTATGTATGTGTAGACAAGAATGGGGGACTTGGCTCCTTCCAGGTTCGAGGCAGGGATCCAGAGGGGTGCAGGATTTTCCTTCAGGTGGATTTTCCTTCCTTGGGAGGGTGAGGAGGGGCTGGGATGGAATTCCCAGAGCGGCTGTGGCTGTGCCTGGATCCCTGGCAGTGTCCCAGGCCAGGCTGGACATTGGGTTTGGAGCCCCTGGGACAGTGGGAGGTGGCCCTGGATGGGTCTGGATGAGCTTTGGGGTCCCTCCATCCCAAACCCACTCTGGAATTGTGCGATGGAAGCACAAAAATCCCAAATTTTTGTGGGATTTGAGACTCACAGGGGCCAGCCCAGCCCTTCCATGAGGGAACTCCTGCTGCTCTGCGGGGACAGCTCCCTCTCCAACCATCCCCAGCTCCCAGCTCTGAACATTTCCCACCCAGATTTCCTTCCCAAGCACCACCAGAAGCCTCCCCTCAGTCCTGCTATGATTAAAAGCCACTTTTGTTTGGGAGAAAACAAACACCGCTTAAAACAAACGCTGCCCTGGAGGTTTCGCTCGCAGGGAATCTGCTGGGTTGCTATTTTTACCTGGATTGGAGAGGCATCAAAGCTGATTCTGGAGGAGAGGAGGAACTGAGCCCTCAAATTGACAACGGTGAGCGAGCAGCTCCCCCAGCCCTGAGCGGGCTTTGGTGCTCGTTAGCGGCGGCTCCTGATGAGGCTGCTCTTGTTTTCCAGGCTGCTTTTGATCCCACACTCATTAAAACCTGATCCTGCTGTGGGATTGCCCCCCCCTCCCCAAACCTCAGCACCTGCAGATGGGGGGGCCCCTGAGCGTTGTCCCCAAATCCCCCAAATTCATCCCCAGGCAGGTTTTCCCCTCAAACAGGAGCTCATCCTCGGGGAGCACAGCCTCCAGCCCAGCTCCCTCCCAGCCCAAACCACTCCAGGATTTTGTTTTCCTAGCCACAAATTACCCAACGAGGGGTTTATGGCCTGGAATATTCAGGGTTTGGGATATCGGGAGCAGAGGCCTCTGCTCCTGCCCCAGGGCTGCCTCCAGGTCCCTCCTGGGGGGCTCCAAACTGGGAGTTCATGAAGGGGAAAATCCCAATATTTGATTCAATGTGGGGACAATTAAACCAAACCTGCAGGGAAGCAAATCATTAAACCATCAAATCATTCACCAGCCTGGAAACCTTCCCTTGCCGCCCCCAAAGCATCCTCGAGGTATTTCAAAGGATCACCAAGATCCCGAGGGAATAACAACAATTCCTTACCCACCTTTACTCTCCCGTGACCAGAAAATCATCACTTACTTACAGGATTATCTCCATCCCTACAAAACATCCAAAATTTCAGTCCCCTCCACCTCCCTCTCCAAACATTTGGGGGTTTTTTGTTTGTTTTTTTTCTCAGCCATCTGCTGCTGGAGCTGCAGGAGCTGCAGGAGGAGCAGCGGGGATGAAAGGAGAGGGAGCGGAGCTGCCAAATTCCCCCTGCGGGAGCCGGGCCCGGCTC